CCCCCCCCCCCCCCCCCCCCCCCCAAAAAAAAAAAAAAAAAAAAAAAAAAATCTCAAAATATATATATATATATATATTTTGCGATTTTTTTTTTTTTTTTTTTTTTTTTGGTGGCTGGCTGGTAGGGGGATCAGAACCCTTTGTCCTTGGTGTTACACCACACTCAAATCAACTGAGCTAACCAGCCAGCCCCAAGATTTTAAGAACTTTTTTTTCATGTACCAAATAAGTGACCTACAAAATGTTTAATAGACTCAGTGCAATGTTTAAAATAGAAATTAACTGTTTAGAACTCTTAATCTTTTCTGATAACTAAAAATCAAATTTGGCTGTGATATTTGTGGCACTTAAGTTTGTTTATAATTGTCTTTTGGCTTTTAAACAGAAAGAATCTCAAAAGAATGATAAAGATTTGAAGATATTAGAAAAAGAGGTAAGCAATGCTAAATAAATGTGGAATACTATGTAATGAAAAAGGAGCTACAAAGAATTAAGAGACAAGTATTTTGTTGCAGTTTGAGGAGTCCTGTAGTGAGGCAAACATGCCATTGAGACCAGTGCCTACCAGGGAACAGTTCCTTTGTGTGGTTATCATATTTCAGAGCCTCTCCAGGCTATGTCAGTGTGGTATGCTGGCAAAGTCAAGTTTGTTAGCATCCTAAAGAACGGATAAAGAAAGCCAGCTTCATGAAAAAGTGATAACTAAAAACCAGTGTTGTTTTATTACAATTAGGTATGTGGATCAAATATTTACATTTACTCATAGTGCATACCCTTCCTGTATTCTAAACTGTGTTAAGACAGCATAGCTAGAGAATTGCTTGGTGAGCATGCAGTCCTAGCAGATTAGTTGGATTGGGATGGAGTTATGCTAACCTGATGCATTGCTCTGTACAATAGGTATATGCCTTTCTCAGGAGTGAAATAACCTAGAGCTGTGCTGTATAGTATGGTACCCACTCACCACAGGTGACTATTTAAATTCATTAAGATTAAATAAAATTAAGAACTCAGTTCCTCAGTTGCACTAATTGCATTTCAAGTGCTCAGTAGTCACCTGTGGTGAGCAGGTACCATACTGGACAGTGCACTTCCATCATGTCAGAAATTTCTGTTGAGTAGCAGAGACCTAAAGAATCCCCTTACCCCTAAGCAGTGTTCAGCTGCTCACTGCCACCTTTGTTTCTCTGGCAGTCTTTTTTCCATGTTTCCATTGCTGACCAACTCTTCTAGTGGGCATATTCTTTCAGTATATTAAAACTTTCTGTTTGATTATAGTTAAACATTGGTTTAGGACAAAGAATATGTCAAGATAACTGCAAATTTCTGTCTCGTTGCTCTGATGCTTTTGTATTTGTTTTAATAATATTGGCTATCATTTTAGTGTGGATGCATGCTGCTGATGTAGGGGTCGGTACTTACAGACGTAATAACTGAGTCTTAGTGATGTAGCTGATGAGTGAGTGGCAGAGCCAGGATTAGAACTGATAATTTGCATCAGTTACTTCATTGGGTATGGAATTTTAGGTTGGCAGGTTTTTTTCCCCTGCCATTTTAAAGATGGCATTTCATTATTTTCTGGTTTCTACATTTTCTTTTGACAAATATTAAGTTTTTGTTGTTTTTTTTAATCTCGTAGTAGCAGAAGGAATGATGGTTTGGTGATGCCTACTACATTTTGCTCAGAAGCCCAGCTCTGCCTTTTTGAAATAAAGAAGATATTTAGCATTTCAAACTATAATTTGAATTTGTGTAGTTGGAACTAGAGAAAAGAAGAACTCTTATAAGTAGAAATACCTTAAATGTGAATAAGCAAAGGTTAAGGGTTCGGATCTTCTTACCAGCCAACCTCCAAAAAAAAAAAAAAAGTGAATAGACAGCTTAATTGCATTTGGAAGTTTATGGCAATTAAAATCCTTCTTTTCTTAAAATGTATACAGATTTTTAAGATGTATCATGTAAATATGATTATACAGATAGCTAGTAAAATTAGACTATCTATGAACATAACATCAAAATCAGAGGTTTTCCTAGCAGCTTTAACACACTGATTATCAGTAGCATATGTTTATGTTGGGATTGTCTCAGTGAATTCATTTATCACCTCATTTTTGTCCAGATTCGTGTTCTTGTGCAGGAACGTGGTGCTCAGGACAGGCGGATCCAGGATCTGGAATCTGAGTTAGAGAAGGTGGAAGCAAAGCTAAGTGCTGTAGTCAGGGAAAAAACGTCTCTCTCTGCAAATAATGCTTCGCTGGAAAAACAGCTTATTGAATTGACCAGGACTAATGAATTGCTAAAATCTAAGGTATTTGAACCTCAATATAATGTGTACAATTGAATAAACAGTAAATATTTTTTTTCTCATTACAGTTGTTTGGGAAGGGTAGGCTCGAGTTTAGCCCTTTTCCTTCACTAAATGTACCTTAAATATTAAGCTGCTTCAATAGGGATTATTTTATCTTTTTTTTTTTTTTAATTAGGGTGTCTGTCACTTAAGAGGTTATAAACAAACAAGTTACTTTTTGTTTCAGTTTCTGACATTTTCTCACCCCTCAAAATTATCTCCAGAAAATAAGACCATTAATAAAATTATAGTATTTATATCTAGAAGTCACTTTAAGGATCTTTCTTTGAAGAAAATAATAGCATAACATCAGCCTTCCATCTCAAATCCTTTTGGGAATGGAATAGGAAATAAATAAATTGATAGACTAAATATGTTCAATAGATAAATTGTGTTTATCAATATTAATACACTAATAGATCTTAAAGGGCTTAACGTGGTCATCCTGCTTGTTACAGAAGTAGAGGGAGGAAATAAACCACTGTTCAGTTTAATAAGAGTCATTTATTCAGCGCTTGTAATGTGCTGGGCTCTTTGCTTACAAAAAGAGTAAGACTACACTAGAATCAAGCATAGGAAGTGAACAGGTACCTGGGCCCCACCCTAGGAGATTCTGTGTTAGTAGGCCTGGGGTAGACTCTATATTCTACATATTTCAGCGTATACCAGGCAATTCAGATTCATTTTGTTAAGCAAAAACACCAAGAAATCTCTTAAAGCCTTGTTTTAGAGCCTCACAATGGATTTTCCAGCACGTAAAGGGAAGTGATCTCCCAAACATTTCAGAAATAAACCAGAAAGTCACATTAAAGAAAAGGAGAGACAAGAACAGTAGTAGTGTGTAATCAGTTAATTGTGTTGGTCAAAGGTTATTTTCTCTACCAAAGGATATTGCAGGCAGATAATAGCCCCAATGATAGGTAGAATAATCAATATGTAAGTGATTTTATATATGACTTGGTAGAAAATTTTACAAATTGTTTATTACATGTTTGTTTTACTTAGTTTTCTGAAGATGGTAACCAGAAAAATATGAAAATTCTAAGCGTGGAGCTGATGAAACTTAGCAACAAAAGAGAAACAAAGATGAGGGTTAGTGCTACCTTTGGTAAGATTGCTCTGTCTGGATCTGGGGATCTGGACAATTTCTCATTTCCTAAGACAAAGATCTCTTGTGTAGAGTATGATGGCTAAACAAGAAGGCATGGAGATGAAGCTGCAAGTCACCCAGAGGAATCTTGAAGAGTCTCAGGGAAAAACAGCACAACTTGAAGGGAAACTGTAAGTGACTAAAAGTTAAGAGAAATTACATGTAACCAGTTCTTGATTTGCCTCTCTTAGTGAGTTATTGTTTAGTGAGACTTTAACATTCCTTCAGTGCCTATTTCATTGCCTCCTTCCAATTGACATGTTCCTTTTTCTAAGCAACAGTTAAGCCGTAATCATTACCACATATTTTATGCTAGAAAGTTGTGTTACTTTTGTACATCTGTATTAATGTTGAGGAAAGGTCTCATAGTTTTTCTAATCACATAATCTTATGGAGGTAGTAGTCAAATTGAGAAACACTGGCATAGGAAGCTGTAATAAATGCACAATCTTAGCCTTCTTTTTATTATATGGCCGTACTTTACATGCAGTAAAATGCACTGATCATAAGTATTCAGTTTGTAGACATTTGACAACTGGTTATATCGATGTAACCATTAACAAAACAAGATAGAGAACATTTCCATTCCCTCAGAAAGTTTCTTCATACCCCTTCTTGCTCCCGGCCGTACTTTACATGCAGTAAAATGCACTGATCATAAGTATTCAGTTTGTAGACATTTGACAACTGGTTATATCGATGTAACCATTAAGAAAACAAGATAGAGAACATTTCCATTCCCTCAGAAAGTTTCTTCATACCCCTTCTTGCTCCCCTGCTACTACCCATGCATTGCATCCTATCTCCGCAACTATGTCTGACTTCTATTATCATAGGTTTGTTTTGCCTTTGTTGGGATATTTATCACAGCATGAGAGGAGAGAGAGAGAATGTGCATGTGTATGTGTGTGTGGCTTTTGTTTTATGTAATTTTTCAAGATCCATCCATATGCTATACGTGTTATAATTTTTTCGTTTTTATTTCTGAATAGTATTCCACTATATGAATATACAGACGATCCCCAACTTAATGATGGTTCAGCTTATGATTTTTCAACTTTACGATGGTGAACTGATATGCATATAGTAGGAACTGTACTTCAAATACCCATATGACCATTCTGTATTTCACTTTCTGTACAGTATTCAATAAATTACTTGAGATATTCAACACATTATTATAAAATAGGCTTGTGTTAGATGTTTTTGTCCAAATGTTGGCTACTGTAAGTGTTCTGAGCACATTTAAGGTCAGCTAGACTAAGCTATGATGTTTGTTGGGTTGGGTGTATTAAATGCATTTTTGACTTTAAAACTCTTGAGGTTTCCTGAGTGAGGGGATAGTCTTTGTTATTTTAATGAGTCAAATCATTAGAAAGATTCAGGGTGGGTGCTAGCTGCCAGAAAAATCAATCATATGATTAGGTGTATTGAATGCATTTTCAACTTATGATGACATAACACCATTGCAAGTTGAGGAGTATCTGTACCTCTCTTTGTTTACTGTTCTCTTTTTGATTATTATTTGGACTGTTTCTAGTTTCTGTCTATTATGAAAAGATTGCAGTATGCATGTTCTGTGTCCTTTTGTGGGCATGTTTTTATTTCTCTTGGGTAAATATCTAGGAATAGAATTCTTGGATCATAAGTAGTATAACATTTTAAATAACTCTAAAGCGGTTGTACCATTTTATACTCCCACTAGCAATGTATGATATTTCCAGTTGTTCCCCATTCTCACCAACATTTGACGTTGTCAGTCTACTTGATTTTAACCTTTCTGGATATGAAGTGGTATTTCTTTTTTCTTTTTTTTTTCCTTTTTGTCTTTTTTACTGACCGGCAACGGGATCGCAACCCTCGGTGTTGCGCCTGCACCGCGCTCAGCCAGTGAGCGGGAACCGGTCTCCACATGGGATCCGAACCCTCAGCGGGAGCGCCGCCATGCTCCCAAGCGGCGCACTCTCCAGTGCACCACCGGTCCGGCCCATATATGTTGCTTTTTTAAGGGTTAACATAGTTGAAAATGCATAAGCAACCAGCATAAGCCCTCAGTGAATATACGGTAGACTTGATCACAAACCTGGCTTGCATGATCCTAAGCATATACACATCATTCTTTGAAAACACTGTAGAGAAAAACCTGGCCATCCGCTTCCTGCCACTGAAGCTGGTGACTCGTGCTGTGATCATACAAATAACTATCATATTCACACCTGGGTGTCGGTTTCTTTTACTTAAATAAAAATTTTAGTCTATTTGCATATAAATTGTCAATTTAAGAGGTCACATAAAATAATGGATAAGAGTTTGGACTCTGGAGTTAGCCTGCTTGATACAATAGTGTCTAGTATCTGATACATAGTAAACATTATGTATGATTATTAAGTAAATAAATTAGTTCATATTAACATATGCAATTTTTTTTAGTGTTTCAATAGAGAAAGAAAAGATTGATGAGAAATCTGAAACAGAAAAACTCTTAGAATACATCGAAGAAATTAGGTAATAAGAGCAGTAGCTTTAAATTGGGCCTTATTTTGTTGAATTCTGATGAATACATCATTTTCATCATTTTTCTGTTAATTTTACCTGTGACTAAATAGATGTGCTCTTCAAAATAATTTGTTTAATGCAGCTGTGCATCAGATCAAGTGGAAAAATATAAGCTGGATGTTGCCCAGTTAGAAGAAGATTTGAAAGAGAAGAATCATGAAATATTAAGCCTTAAGCAGTCTCTTGAGGAAAATGTTATGTTGTCTAAACAAGTAGAAGACCTGAATGTTAAATGTCAACTGCTTCAACGAGAAAAAGGTATTATAGTGTTCATAATTACTTTCTTTAGATAAGTGCTACATACAATATTTAAGAAAAGTACAATATACTTATAATTGTCTAAACAACAACAAAAACACCCTGTTCTGTATTTGAGAATTTTTTACTCATATAATATTTGTTCTGTATTTATTTCAATATATTGTTTATCTTGATTGAAATATATATAACTGTGCAGTTCTTTACTTCCCCACTGGGTGGCCATTTAAAATTGGTAGATGTACAGAACTAGATTTGGGTGTTTTATTATATAGCATATGTTATATATGTGTGTATATAGTAATGATACAAACTATATAGGTTTGGTTTTTTTCTTTGGAAACACTTAATCTGAATAACATGCTAAAAGCCATATAAGGGAATATTGTGGGATTCTGGGTTTCTCGATGTTAATGTTGGTATCTAGTTACAATATTTTCAATGTTTTGTCTTTTATAGAAGACCTCATCACCAGGAATAGAGAACAGGATGAAAATCTAAATGCCAAGATGCAAAACTTAAAAGAGAAGTTTATTCTTGAAAAACAAGAACATGAAAAGCTACAACAAAAAGAGTTGCAAATTGATTCACTTCTGCAACAAGAGAAGGTAGTTTACTACAATATAAAAAAAGAAAGTGCTTATTCAATGTCATACATTTTTTTATGTATCAGAAAATCTTTATTGTTTATATCCTTTGATCCAGCAATTCTAGTTTTAGAATCTTATCCTGAGGAAACAATCATCAGGATGCTGAAGATTTAGCCATAGATCTTCACTACATGTTCACCACAGGATTATTAATAATGTGAAAAAATTATAAATAATGCAGCAATATAGGGAAATTCTTTTTTAAAAACTTCCTGGTGCAGTCTATGTAGGCATTTAGTTATCTCATAAAAGCGTTTAATAACAGGAGAAACGAAACTATTTTTAAAATCCAGATTCTGTAAAGAGTATTTCAATAACAATGGGAAAAGAAGTCCACTAAAAAACAAAAAAATGACCATAGGATGGAAATAGATAATTCTCAGAGAAATTCAGATGGCCTGTAAACCAGAAAAGCTGCTCTTCCTCAGTAGTAACAAAAGAAATGGAAATAATTTTTTTTTTCACTTGCAAGATTTGCACAAATCAAAACATTTGATAATATTTGAGAACATTGGTGAGAGCTGAGCCAACAGGTACTTACATGCTGATGTGAAATATTATATCGTTAGGCTACATGCAACAACTAAAGGAATTAGGTAAATCAATATATACTGACCTGAAAAGATCTCAGCAACCGTTTTTATTATTTTTTTAACTTACATTTACATATACAGTGTGTGTGTATATGTGTGTGTGTGTGTGTATATATATATATATATATATATATAATATATATATATATATATATATATATATATTTTTTTTTTATATCCAAAAAATGTATACATGGATATGAATATATAGAAAAAGACCAAAAGGCATATATATTCCAAACTAGCAGTTGTCTCTAGAATGGGAAACTGCTGTTGGGGTGGGGAGTAGTCAAAGATAATAGTCACTTCATTGTAAAGTTAGACTTTTTTCACAATGGTGATGTGTTTGTGTATCATATAACTTAAAAATAGTTTTATATAACACTGAAATCACTATACTTTTTATATAATATGTGAGAAAAGTATATTAAAGTGTATATAAAAACCAGTTGTAAGACAGAAGTATAATTTTAATTTTATAGTGTGTGTGTGTGTGCGCGCGCGCGCGCGCATGTGTGCGCGTGCGCGTGCTGTGTAGAAAAAAGGCCTGAAATGATATTTGCCACAATGTTAACAAGGGGTAGGATATCATCCATATAAAATGATATATCTATGTTGTTTTTTCTTGAAACTCTTGAATTTAATTTTATACTTCATTTTTTATCTTTTTTTGTCTCTCCATATCTTTTATCTTCATTTTTTATTCTTTTTTGTCTCTCCATAAAACCTCACAATGCCAATTCAAATTATTTTGATGTTTTTTTGATTTGGATGTAGGAGTTATCTTCCAGTCTTCAGCAGAAGCTATGTTCTTTCCAAGAGGAAATGATTAAAGAGAGGAATTTCTTTGAGGAAGAATTAAAGCAAGCACTGGATGAGCTAGATAAATTACAGCAAAAGGAGGATCAAGCTGAAAGTCTGGTCAAGCAATTGGAAGAGGAAACAAAGTCTAGAGCTGAAGAACTAAAACTCCTAGAAGAGAAGCTGAAAGGGTTTGTTTAATAGGACCTCATGTTTATATATGACTTCAGTTGTTAAAAAGTATTTTCTAGTACATTTTCTTAGGATTCTCACATCAACCATGTGAGTGTGTGAGGCTGGAATTATTAAAAGTAATGAATAAACAGAGAGAGGTATAGCACATGCACAAAATGTAATGCAAACAGGTATGGCAGCCAAAGTTAAAAGTGTTGCCCTTTCTTTTTCTAAGGCCAGAGGTTTAATTAAAGAGAGTTTTAATAAACAAATGACTAAAGTTTTATGCTCTTTTAGTACTCTTATATTTTCTAAAAACGATTGGACATAAGCATTATAACAATAATGAATTTAAGAAAATAACAAAAAATTAAGAATTCTACCCTTTAATTTAAAAAGTTTCCATTATTTGTGTGTACATCAGTTTATGTAGTGTAAGTTATACCTTTAATTACCTTTTTGAGGGAGAACAAACACTTCAGAAATAGCAGTCTAAAAGCAAAATGGGGAAAAAAACTGGGAAACATTTAAAAATAAGTTTATTCAAGGTAGAAAGACTGAGATCTCATTTTTTTTAACTCTAGTTTCATATTATTTCTATCACATTATACTTTCTTCTCCACTACATTTATTTAAATTAAAATACCCAGTTTGATTCTTGAGCTCAAATTGCAAATAAAATAATGGATTATGTTATTTAAATCCTTGGGATCTCATCACTAAAATATTTTCTAGCAAGAAACCGTGTACTAAACATAAGCCTACACTATTATAATATATCTCACACCTGTGTATCTGTCTCTGGTTGAATACTTTTATTATTAATCTTTTCTCTGTTTTCTTGTGGTGATTAGTGATGTAAATGAACACCAAGGTTTTATACATTCCTGCTTTTCAGAGAATAGTTAAAAAGTGTAATTAGCAGGATTGTTTTATACTGTAGCCAGTCTCAAGGAATAGGAACCTTAAGAAACTCAGTATGTGATTTCAGAGAAGAAATTTGAAACAATCATTTATTCTAACTCAAAGAACTCTGCCCCAGTAGTTAAGAGATAGGTATTTTATTACTAGATCTATTAACTGGCTGTGTGATTCTGAGTAAGACAGTCTTAATTTCTTTCATTTTCTACTTCATTAGATATTAAATAAAGGACTTTTATGAGATGATCTCTAAGGTCCCTTGCAGCCTGGAAATTTCAGACTTAGAAGAAAAACCAACTAAGAGATTGAAAATGATTCCTGTAGGGGACAGGGAGGAAATTATTATTATTATAAACCCTTTAATAATATTTGATTGCTCTTGCTGTGGTGTGTATATTTTAAAAATTCCATATTCAGAATTAATTTAATCAGTTATTTATCTTGTCTCAGTGTCCAACTTAATCTGTAAGTGCACAATGCGTATTTATATTTTTTAGTTCTATATAGTCTTTAAAAGATCTCTCATAAGTTCATATTCTATCTAAAAATTTTGTCACCATTTTGGTAATATATAGTATTTCAAATATACCGATATATGTAGCATATATTTTAAAGATGGCTTAAAACCTATTCTATCTATGCAAAATAATGCATTAAAAAAGTTGAATCTTTGAATAATGACAATGTGTTATGTGGGTTATTTATATAATCAAAATAAATCCACATAGTCCTTTAACTATTTTTTCAAAAGAACTTTTAAAATGAAGTGTCCTTAACTGTATTAGTATGTCTTAAGTGCTTAAGTGCAGAGAATTAAACTTTATTCAATCCAGGTGCTTTATAACTGGTAATCCTTTGCATTCTTTAGTCTTGGTTGCTGCTGTAAGACTCTGTTTTAGAGTCTTTTTACCCTACCTTCTCCCCCTCAAATTTTTCAACTCCCAACATAAATACATATGATATTGAAAGATAAACTTAGTAATAAGTAAATTTGGATGAAAACAAAAGTAAATTAAGAGCAGGAAAGATAAGATGAAGCCAGTAGTAAAGTTGGTACATAAAAAATTAATGCTATTAGAGATAGGACATAAATAAACTTGGATCTAACTACCTAACACCTAATGCAACGATGAAATATGACATATATGATTCAGTTTCAAAGGTGAATACTATTCTCTTTCTTAGGGTTAATGATTTGTAATTAGCCTTTTTTTTTTTTTTGGCAGCTGGCCAGTACTGGGATGTGAACCCTTGGCCCTGGTGTTATCAGCTCTGTGCTCTAACCAAGTGTTTTATCTTTTAATTGTATCTTTTTTTAGGAAAGAAGCTGAACTGGAGAAAAGTAATGCTGCTCACACTCAAGCCACCCTGCTTTTGCAAGAGAGGTATAATAATACAGCACAAAACCTTGGAGATGTTACTGCCCAATTTGAAAGGTATTTTTCTTGGGATCCCCAACTCTCAAATGTAACATGAACAGCAAAGCATGTTTACCTAGAAAAATCTGTAAATAAAGTAATTGCGCAAAGTGAATAGTTGGTATTACTGTAAATGCTATAATGACCAATAGTAAAATGGCATTTAGTGTCACCTGGATCTTACTATACTTATATAGAAATTTTTCTTTCTTACTGTCCACTTAAGATTTCATGCACTCTTAAACTTTGGCAATTTTGCCTTTCTCTCATGATGTCATCATTTTCCTTAAAGAATTCAAAAGTTATTATCTCCTCATCATCAAACCTATAAACACATCCATATTTATAATCATCCCCTCTTTCCACCTATTACAGATGAAGTGTCCTAGATTTAACCTTCAGTGGCCTCATTCCATTATTTATCCTAATTTCTCATAATTTCCAACATTTCCACTGGAATTTTTCCAGTCAATGTTAAAACGTTAATGTGCATTCATCTTTAAAACACATAAATTAAAAAAACAAAAACTACTTTGACTCACTTCCTTTTGTTGCAGCTATCTAACACTACCACTCACTCCCAACACCCTTCTTAACCCCAAATTCTACTCCTCTTCACAGTCCCTCTTCTTGATAGATTGTCTGTATGCTATATTCACTTCCTCACATCCTATTCTGTCTACTTGTTATTTGCCTTTTAAAAAAAGTTTATTTGGGGGTGGACTACAAATTGCAAAGGATAATATAACAAATACCTATGCATCTCACAACAAAGGTCTATTGTTAACTTTATTATATTTACTTTAGATCATTTAGGGGGAGGTCTTTTTTTTGTCTACTTTAATATACTTTATAAACGCAAAAGAGTACACAACATGTGCATAAACTAAAAGATTAAAAAAAGCATAAAGATAAAATCAACATGCATGAACCCTTAAAAGACAACTATAAGCCAAAAGATTTTTAGCAACTTGGTATCTATATATGGGTTCCTCCACTGTTCCATAATCATGCTTTCTCTGAACAGGTAACACTATCTTGAAGCCCACATTAGTTATTTCCTCACTTTTTTCCTGTGTATTATAATTTTATAACATGTATAAGGGCACTTCAAAAAGTTCACAGAAAGATTAGTATTATCTTTTAATTCTGTTTTTCCACGAACATTTTGAAGTACGCCTGTATATGCATACAAATAATATATTATCTAATTTTTCTTTTTCCTGAACATCACCAAAAATGTTATCGTGGTGTGTGCCATTTTCTGGGACTTGCCTTTTCGTTTTGCATTATGTGTGTTTTTAGGATTGAGTCATGTTGTTGCCTGAGGCTATAGTTTGTTCATGGTCGCTGCTATGAATATTTGATTGTATGAATATACTCATACCATAATTTATTTATCCACTCCTACCTTGGACTTTTGGGTTGTTTCTCATTTCTTTTATTATTATTAATAGTATACTTATGAATATTTTTGTAGTCTCCTACTATATCTGTATAAGAATTTCTATAAGGTCATAGGTACGTGAATGTTCGACTTTAAAATTTAATACCTTTTCAAAGTGGAGATGAGAATGTAGGAACAGATCACTGGGGAAATAAGGTACTATTCAATAAATAGTACCCCCCAGTGTTGTGTGAATTCCCATTGATCTAATTCCTCACCAAAGCTTGTTAAATTTCTTAAATTTTGCCAATGTTACCAAGTGTAAAATGGCTTCTTATGGTGGATAATTCATCTTTCTTTATTCATAAAAGGCTTGCTATGACTTTTGTTCATTTGTCTATAGGGTTATCATTTCCTCACTGATTTGTAGAGTTTTTTAAATCACCAATATACATTGCAAATATCTTCTCCCAGAGTGGCTTATCTTTTTATTTTCTTTATAGTTTCTTCTGATGAGTGAGAATTCTTCATTTTAATGTGGTTAAATCTATAGATGTTTTTGTGAGCACTTTTGCATCTTATTTAAGAAGTATTCTATTTCCATTTCTATTCCAAGAGCATAAAGATATTTACCTATTTTTCTTCTAAAAGTTTTAAAGTTTCACTTTTTATTTTACCATCTAAAACTGATTTCTGTGTGTGTAGTGATACAGGGATCAAATATTTATTTTTCCCTATGTTTAACCAATTGCCTAGTACCCATTCATTGAATATTACCTTATTTTCCCAGTGATGTGTTCGTATATCTGATATATTATGACAGATAGGTAAATAATTTGTGTGCGTATATATTTTTTTTATTATTTTTATATATCAGAGATTGATCTCAGTCCTCTAAAGGAATTTTCCTTCTCACTACTTTGAAAAATAGTGGTTTAGGGGGATTTTATCCATTCCATGATTTCACTTACTATCAGTATGCTAATGGCATTAAAATGTATTTCTTCAAACCAGACCTTTCTTTTCAGCTTCACACCCATATACCCAGCTGCCTACTTGGCATCTTCAAGTAGATATCTCACAATCATCTCATATTTAACCTTCCAGAACATCTCTTGATCTTCTCCATTTCCTTATAGCTCCAGTCTCATTGTTTTTTTTTTTTTATCATAATCAGTAACATCTTCATCTTCTCAGATTCTCATTCCATAAAACTTAGAGTCATCCTTGCTCATTCTCTTTCTCTTACCCTCAATATCCAGCCTATCTCTATTCTGCCTCCAAAAGAGATCTCACATCTTTCCACTGCCAATTCTAGTCCAAGCCTTCTTTATTACGCACCTGGGCTGAAAAAATAATTGTCTTCCAATTGATCATCTAGTTTTTCATTTCTGCGCCTTCTCCAGCTCACTCTCCTCATACCTCTAGAGTGATCCACATGCTTACTTAGAGACCTTTAGCAGCTCCCCTTAATCCCTCAGGTAAACCCACTGCCCTGCGGTGATGACCAGCTCATGCCTCTGGCTTATTCTCCTGCCTCTCTCATTCATTAGGCTCCAGTCTTGCCTCTTAATGGACTGTCTTCTACCTGCCTCCAAGTACATATGCATCTTTATCCTCTGAACTGCTTTCCCCTAACTGCCTGGCTAAGTCATTTCTCATATAAATTTATAACTCATATAAATTTCCCAGAATGGCCTTTTCTGAACTTCCCCTGTTCTATCAGCTTAAAGTTCTTTGTATTTTTTTCTTCATAACACTTATTACAAATTTACTTTATATTTACATTTTTTTAGAAGAGTAAGAAAGGCAATTCCCCATCTTCCCCACAAGACCTTAAACTCTGTGACAGTAGGTGTGAGGATTGTATATATTTTTTTGTTTTGAAGTGATTTTCATATTTAATAGTTAATTTTTTACATCTCTATATGCATAGTTCTGCACATAGTAGGCACTTGATTTTTTTTTGAATGAACAAATGCCATGTAAACTCATTAGTATTTACCTTATAACACTGAATTCTTACCTGTGTAAAGGCATGACTATATCATAAGGGTTTGTTTGTTTTACCTAAAAACGTATAAAATGTAAAATTATTAGCCATATGTTTGTCATTTACACAATAGTTAGAAAAATGTTTTGATTTTTTTTTTCTTCTTAATAAGCTATAAAGCATTGACAGCTAGTGAGATAGAAGTCCTTAAGCTGGAGAACTCATCACTACAGGAAAAAGTGGCGAAGGCCGAAAAATGTGCAGAGGATGTTCAACATCAGGTGTTGGCAACTGAGAGCACAAATCAAGAATATGCAAGGTATGTAGAACAAATAAAGCCTGTCTACACTGGTAGCCTTAGAGCCATGTAGACAATTTAATGTTGAAAGCCAGCTAGTAAATGATTCAGGGAATAGTCCCATGGCCTGCTTTTGGCAATAGAAAAAAGTAATTAAAATAGCTGTAAAATATTTAATGTACTCTTCTCTCAAACCCAAGGATGCTTCTAGATCTGCAGACCATGTCAGCACTTAAGGAAGCAGAAATTAAAGAAATCACAGTTTCTTCTCTTAAAAAAATAACTGATTTGCAGAACCAACTCAAGCAACAAGATGAAGACTTTAGGAAACAATTGGAAGAGGAGGAAGCAAGGTAACCTGGATTTAGAATTTACTGCCATGTAACTCAGTTACAATGTTATTTTTAACATAACTATGTTTTTTAATTTAATTTTCCCATACAGAAAAGCTGGAAAAGAAAATACCATGGCAGAATTAACTGAGGAAATTAATAAGTGGCGTCTCCTTTATGAAGAACTGTATAATAAAACAAAACCTTTTCAGGTTTGTCAATTAGAACTAAACTTACTCATCTTCATTTTAGGAATTCACTCTGTTCCCTGTTATAGTCATGACAATGACTTGATTTTTCTGCAAGATCGTTTGCTGTGTGTTTACTTTGCCTATTATACTTTATTAAAGAAAGTTAATAAATTTTATTATATTATTATACATAAATTTTTTTGTTTTATTGAGGTATAATTGGCTAATTAAAATTGACATAAATTGTTTAAATGTGGCCTTTGTAGGTTAAAAAATACTTTCTAATAACTTAAAGTTAATATCTCAGAAGGCTCTTTTAATATGAACTTTTTAAATATATGTTAACTTGTGATATGCATTTGGTTATGATCTACCTCAGTTTTTCTCAAATTGATATGCTGATCTTTTCAAAAGAAGAAAAGGGTGAATGCTAATTTTGTTACTTAAATAGAGTAGAAGTATAGTATTGGTTATAATGTGGTTATCCAGATGACACAGATAAGGCTGGTTAGCTGGCTTTTTATCTTTGTTTCTTTTCCTCTGTTTTAATGATCTTTGAAATGAAAAATACAAAGTTTAAAAGATTTTCATAAAAAATCTATAGAGAGCCCTAAGAATATGTAAGCATACTTTGTTTTTGTTTGTTGTTGTTTTTTTTAATTTTCTTAAGTTTTTTTATGGTTTATATGAAGCTAGTAAGACTTAACAGTTTTAAGTCTTAACTTTTTAAAAAAATGTTTTTCAGCTACAACTGGATGCATTTGAAGCAGAGAAACAGGCATTGTTGAATGAACATGGTGAAGCTCAGGAACAGCTGAATAAAATAAGAGATTCATATGCTAAATTATTGGGTCATCAGAATCTAAAGCAAAAAATCAAGCATGTTGTGAAATTGAAAGATGAAAATAGCCAACTCAAATTGGTTTGTAAAATAACATTTAGTTTTATTAAAGATATTGGGGTGGAAGGTTTATTATTCTAACTATTTATAATAGTTAAGTAAAATTAAGTTCTTTGGTACCAGAAAAAAACCAGCCATTTATATAGGAAAATCCATCTGAGAATTAATAGGTTTATTTAGGAATGTTGACCAAATAGGTATTCAGTGTTCTCAGATTTTCCAACCACCTCTGTAGTATGTTGAAAATTACTAGTGTAACCGGAAGAATTCACAAAGCTTTACACATCTATTTCTGTTTGCAAAATAGCAAACTCTGATGTAAATACCATACAGACAAGCAGTATTCAAAAATAGTTAGGTATTTAAATTTTTGAACAGCTTTATTGAGATGTAATTTATATCCCATATATTTCACCCGTTTAAAGTATACAAATCAGTGGGTTTTAGTATATTCATAGATACATGCAACCATCACCAGTCAATTTTAGAACATTTTCATTGTCTCAAAATTAAACTCTTTACTCTCTACCTATCAGCCTTCCATCTCCTCATTCTACCTGTCTCTTCATCCCTAGGCAACTACTAATCTACTTTCTGTCTCTATAAATTTTCCTGTTGTAGACATTTTGTATTCATGGAATACTTGTGGTTTTGTGACTGGCTAATTTCAATTAGCATTATGTTTCCATGTTTCCAGGGTTCATCCATGTCATAGCAAGTATCAGTACTTCATTACATTTTTATGGCCTAATAATAATTAATTGTGTGAACATACCACATTTTATCAGTTTGTCAGTCGATGGACACTTGGGTTATTTTTATGTTGTAGCTAGTATGAATAATGCCATTATAAACATTCATGTATAAGTTTTTGTATGAACATATATGTATATTCCTCTTGGGTATATACTACCTAGGAGTGAAATTACTGGATCACATGGTAACTCCATTTAGTCATTTAAGGCACTGTTGGACTGTTTCCAAAGTGGCTTTACCATTCTACATTCCATTAGCAGTGTACGAGGGTTTCAGTTTCTCCACATCCTCATCAACATTTATTATTATCTGTTTTTTTGATTCTAGCCATGATGGGTGTGAAGTGCTATCTCATTTTGGTTTTGACTTGCGCTTGCCGGATGTCTAAGGATGTTGATCATCTTTTCATGCACTTATTGACCATTCGTATATCCTCCTAGGAGAATTTCTATACAGATCCTTTGCCCATTTTTTAAGTGGATTATTTGTCTTTTTATTGTTGAATTGTGAGAGTTCTTTATATTTTCTGGATACAAGTCTTACCATGTATCATTTGCAAATATTTTTTCCCATTATGTGGGTTGTCTTTTCACTTTCTTGATGATGTCCTTTGAGGAACAAAATTTTGATGAAGTTCAGTATATCTATTTTACCTTTGTTACTTGTTTTTTTTGGTTTGTATCTATGTATCCTTTGCCAAATCTAAGGTAATTCAGATTTACCCATATGTTTTCTTCTAAGAGGTTTATAGTTTTAGCTTACTTTTAATTCATTGATTCATTTTGGGTTAATTTTTGTATATTGTGCGAGGTAAGGATCCAACTTTATTCTTTATTATGTGGTTATCCAGTTGTCCCTTTCATTTTTTGAAGAGTATTCTTTCCCGCAATGAATGGTGTTGACACCCTTGTTGAAAATCAGTTGACTGTATATTTATACATTTATTTCTAAACTCAACTGTCTTCCATTGACCTATATCTATCCTTATGCCACCATAAGATGTAGTTTGTAGTAAGTTTTGAAATCAGGAAGTGTAAGTCCTCCTAGTCTGTTCTTTTTCAATATTGTTTTGTCTATTCTGCACCCCTTGAAATTCCATAAGAATGTTAGGATCAGGTTTTCTGTTTGTACACAGAAACCAGCTGGAATTCTGATGGGAATTGCATTGGATCTGTGGATCAGATTGGAGCATATTGCCAAATATGCTCCAATCTGATCCAATCTGTAAACAGCGGATGTTTTTCTAATTATTCAGATCTCCTTTAATTTCTTCCAACAGTGTTTTGTAGTTTTCAGAGTATAAGTTTTGCACTTGTTTTGTTAAATCTATCCCTAAGTATTTTATTCCTTTTGATGCTTGTTATAAATGAAATTGTTTTCTCAGTTTTATTTTTGGATTGCTCATTGCAAGTGTTTAGAAATACAATTGATGTTTATATACTGATTTTTGTATCCTGCAACCTTGCTACCTCATTTATTAGTTCAAATAGTTTTTTAGTGGATTTCTTAGGACTTTCTATATAGAAGACCATGTCATCTGCAAATAGGGATAGTTTCACTTCTTTTCCAATCTTGATGCCTTTTATTTCTTTTCCTTGCCTAATATCCCTGGATAGAACCTGCAGTATAATGTTGAATAGATATGATGAGAATAGACATCCCCATTTTGTTCCTGATCGATGGGGAAAGCATTCAGTCTTTCAGCATGAAGTGTGATGTTAACTTTGTAGTTATGGGTTTGTCATAGATGCTCTTTATCCAGTTGAGGAAGCTCCCTTCTATTCCTACTTTGTTGGGTGTTTTTATCATAAAAGGGTGTTGAATTTTGTCAAATCTTTCTATTTCTATTGAGCTGATCATGTAATTTGTCTTTTATTTTATTGATAAGATGTTTTTACATTAATCAATTTTTAGATATTAATCCATCCTTGCATTTTTAAGATAGATCCCACTTGGTCATAGTGTACAATTCTTTTTGTATGTTACTGGATTCAGTTTGCTGGTATTTGCTAAGAATTTTTTCATCCATATTCCTAAGAGATATTATTCTGTAGATTTCTTTTTTTGTAATGTCTTTATATGGTTTTTTATCAGTGTAATACTCACCTCATAAAATGAGTTGAGAAATGTTTCCTCCTTTTTATTTTTTGGAATAGTTTGTGAATAATTGGCATAAATTCTTCATTGAATGTGTGGTAGAATTCATTGGTTTAGCCATCTGGACTGGGCTGTTCTTTTGTGGGTACTTTTGATTACCAGTTCAAACTTTTCACTAGTTACAGGTCTATTCACACTGTCCATTTTTTCTTGAATAGGTTTCAGTAATTTATGTCTTTATAAAATTTGTCCATTTCATCAGAATTATCTTATTCGTTGGTGTACAGTTGTTCATAGTATTCCTTTATAAGCATTTTTCTTTCTGTAAGATTAGTAGTAATGTTCCTTCTTTCATTTCTTATTCTAGTAATTTGAGTCTCGTCTGTTTTTTAGTTTCTTTAGTTCTACAAACAAGTTTATAATGGCTACTCTTAAATATTTTTCTGATAAATATATCTGATTATTCTCACAGGCAGTTTTTGTTGCCTGCTGTTTTCCCAAGTTATAGATTATACTTTCCTGTTTGTTTGCATGCCTTCTTAAATATTTTTCTGATAAATATATCTGATTATTCTCACAGGCAGTTTTTTGTTGCCTGCTGTTTTCCCAAGTTATAGATTATACTTTCCTGTTTGTTTGCATGCCTTGTAATTTTTTCTTGGAAAGTGAATATCTTATATATTGTAGCACTTCTGGGCCCTGCCCCCCCCCCCAGGCTTGTTGTTATTTGCTTGTTTGTGTATTTATTTATTAAGTGGTAGATAACTTTAGTGAAGTCTATTCCACCCTCACCCCCCAATATTGTTGTGCCTCTGATGTTGCTACTCTAGGAGGTACAGTTTTGGGTATGCCCACAGTCACCTTGGGACGATACTTGCTTTGTTAGGGCTGTCTTTCTCTTTTTCCCTGACCATACATAGCTGTTAAAACTCTACTAGTTGCTGGATCATAACAATGCCCCAGGGCATAATTTGCTGTACAAACTAATTCATCAAAACTCTGGCTCCTTTGTAGGAATTGTGTCTGAGTTCAGCGATTGATATTTTTTTCTGACTCCAGGAGGGCTTCTCCCAGCTGTCTATTCCCCACTTCTCTCCTACAAACTGGTTGGCCTGCAGTTTAGCCTCTGTCTTGAATCTCCTTCTGATTCTCCATCAGCACAACTGTAACTGTTCTTCAGAACTGGGCTTGAACTTCTCCAAGATCTATTGCAAATGAAATTATTTTTGAGAGGAAGAAATTTTGAGCCATCTGCTTTATGGATGCTTTTCCCCTCAGACAAAATCTCTTGTACAGGATTCTGGAGCTGGAATTGGGGACGATGGCAAGCTTCTCTCTGAGTGACACCTTTATCCTAAGAGCTGAATTCTTGGTAGACTTGTGGGGAAGGGGAATGGAATAGGTTCTCTTGGCCTGTCTCTCCTGGTGTGGAACCATCACCTCATGACCCACAGCAAGGGCGATTAGAGTCCCAGTATGTTTAGCACACCATGCCCAAAGTAGAGCCTCTGTTTCGCAAGTGGGATCGAGTAGAGGAAGGGATTGCCCACCTCTCAACTGTATTTGCACAGGACATAATTCAGTAACGGGGAGCTGGAGTAAGATGAGAAACACTGATGTCCTGCTCCTTCTGGGAAGAAAAGCCTCTGACTGGGAGTTGGGGGGAGAGGGAGTCCTGTGTTCTTGGCTACAGCAGTCTGACGTGGAGTCTCTGCCTTGCTAAACTAAGCGAGGGGTGGGGAAGGGAGGAAGCATCTTTGGTTTAAGTACCACAGACATCATCTTTCTCACCAAATTTTTATAGATTTCCTTGAAGAGATGTTTCTTCATTTGCTATTTTGCCCTTAGAACCATTTTTAGAAGCTTTGACTGGTTGCCTTTTTATAATTTTCAGTTTCACTTGGGAGTGAGTCAGCAGAACTTCCATGCTATCTTGCAGAAGTTGATCTTATGAATTAATTTTGAGTTGAACTTTTATGAGAAAAATAGCTTTGCAACTATTTGTAGAGGGGCAAGAAGATTTAAAAGACTGTTTATCTCCTTTGTCACAGATATTCAAAATCATTTTGTAATTCAGTTTTAAAGCCTATATCTAGTAGTGATTTTTGCCATTAGGTTTCATATATAAACAACTTTGGAATTTGCTCACAACATTGTTAATACGTTTCCCCAACATGAGCTTTAATAATTGTTTATTGTCTATTTTTCTATATAGGAAGTGTCAAAACTCCGCTCTCAGCTTGCTAAAAGAAAACAAAGTGAGGCAAAACTTCAGGGGGAATTGAATAAAGTTCTGGGTATCAGACACTTTGATCCTTCAAAGGCTTTTCATCATGAAAGTAAAGAGAATTTTGCCCTGAAAACCCCATTAAAAGAAGGTAAGGAATGAATAAATGTACAGAAGAGTCATCTTCCTTTGGATTTGCTTTCACAGCAGTCAGCAAGTTACCCATTTTATGAACTGTGGAAATTTATTGACACCTTCTGATATAAAAGAAATTCTTACTGAGATTCTTGTCTGATGCCTTTTTCTCCTTCCTTCTATACTCTTTTCTACATATCCAGATCCCCCCTATCCTTCAAACTCAGTTCGTTGAAGTCTTGCATGACTTTTTTGCTCCTACCTACATCCCCCACACAAAAGAAAATTATTTTCTTTTTAATATTCTTAGCATTTTAACCTAAATGTTTCTTAGGTCCTTAAACATTTTCTAATTTGTAGTTTTAGAGAGGTAAATTATCTCTTTCTTGACTGTGAATCTTTGTATCTTTTGTAATAAAGCAAAATATTTGAAATAATATAAATAAAGTTATGCTGCAGGATGTGAGCATTGCTTTTTCTGCCTTAGAGAAGATAGGAGGCCTGTTTTTAGCTTATAATGATTATTGAATTCATTTTAATTTAAAATACAATACTGGCCAGCTGCCAAAAAAAATAAAATATAATAAAAATAAATAAAAGTAAGCATTCATACCCATTTAAAAAAGAACAAATAAAATACTAATATTTCTTTTTAATAATCCTTCCAGGCAATACAAACTGCTGCTGAGCTCCTATGGAGTGTCAAGAATCTTGCAAGTAAACATCTGAAAACCAGTTGAAGATTATTTCATTCTTATTATGGTTATTGCTATTATTATTATGTGTATAAGTATTTTATAATGTTATATTTAATTTTAACTGCATATCTATAGGTATGTGAAAGGAAGTTCTACATCTTTTACCAAAACATCTTTTGACATTTTATTTTCTATTGTAAATGCCTCTTCCTTAATGTTTAGCTTTATTGTCTTATTCCGAACCTCCTAACTGGCTTTCCAGCTTACAGTGCATCCCATCAAATCAACATTCCTTTGAAAATCACTGTCATATTATTATTTCCCTATTGTAAAGCCTTAGTTTCAAGACTATAACCCCTAGACTTTTTAACTTAATCCCAGAATTCTTTTCAAATGTGAACCTCTTGAGCTAGGCTAACGCACCTTGGTCTGTTTTTGCCTCTGCTTTGCTACTGCTAATGTCCATTCTGTCCTACCCATTGTGCTTCCAATTGTCCAGTTCAAATAAGAAATAAGAGCAAGCTTAACTCCATAGTAACCTCTCTATCTTTCATCAGAACCATTGAGTTGTTTCATAAATTACAGATTCCTAGGCTCCACCCTAGTTCTACTAAATTATAATCTGTGGTTTGGCCTGTAAACCTGAATTTTTAACAAACTCTTCAGTTAATTGTTAGGTATGCTAAAAGTCTGACAAACTCTGCATGTAACCTTTTGAGAGAATTTGTTACATACTGCTTGTCCTCTGCCTGTCTACTGAGCATTTGATTAGAATTTTTATAATATGAAATAAGATCACAAAATAAATCATTTACCCAATTAATTATTCAACTTGCATTTTATGAGGTTACATTAATGCTTTTATTTAAGATGTGTTTATTGCCTCTGCCCTCCCCACCCTGCTTTGTTTCTAGAATCATAAATGATACTGTTTAGAAATTGGTAATTCTCCCTCTAAAATATCTGATTTGCATAGTGGGTACAACATATATATTTTTTGTAGTGTTTCCCCATTGATGGACCAACAGAGATTATCACATCAAATAACTTTTTATAATAAATTATTTTTAATATATATTATATTTTAATATATATTATATATATTTTTTATTATATTTTATTATATATGGCTGAATTTTAAAATGTAGTTATTTGAACTAAGTTCAGAGGAAATGTAAAAATTAGAAAAAATTATCAATAAAATAAAATGGTTCAAGACTTCTGCTTTTAGCCAAGATGAAGTAACAGCAAAGTGAACAACCAGGTGCACTGCTGAAAGTTCTGCCCACTGGGAGGATTTCCCTTTATCACTGTCCTTCAGGGATGTCCCAGAAAGGTGCTGTAATGCTGCAGGTGTTCATTTTTGGATGGTGACTGCACATCATGCAGAACTGTCTGTAAACCAGGCCCAAGTTTTTTCTTCCTCTGTCACTGATCATTGGGAACTCCTCATGAGGCCATAGGTGCAGGCTGAGAGGAAGAAGTAGCTCAAAGAAGTAGCCCAAAGAAAGAAGTAGCCCAAATGCCCATGGTCCCCACTCCTGCTACAATGGGCATTTGGGCTACTTCTTTATGAAACTTTCTTGTTCCTTTAGGGCCTATTTGGACCTGATCACATACATACATACCACTTCCATTTGATGATGGAGTGCTCCTGGGCACAGTCAACTTTATGGCTTGGTGGGTAAGATAATACCCAGTTCATGATGGGCCACTCAACTAGCATGTTAAGTTGATGGCCCATGGTCTAAGCATTCAGAATCTATGAAGTCCCAGTAGCAGGCCAAGTGCTATTTCTCAAAAGGAGAGTAGTTATCTGCAGAGGATGGCAGAGCTTTGCTCAAAAACCTAAGGGCCTGCACTGTGATTCACCTGTAGGGGTCTGCCAAAGGCTTCAGACGGCATTTCCTATCTGCCATTGACATTTCAAGTACCATTGCATTGGATCAGCAAGGGCATATGGCTCAAATGGCAGAGCAGCTTGCACAATAGCCTGAACCTATTGCAGAACCTTCTATTCTGGGTCCCATTCAAAATTAGCAGCTTTTCAGGTCACTTGGTAAATAGGCCAGAGTAACACACCCAAATGAGTTATGTTCTGCCTCCAAAATCCAAAGAGGCCCAAGTAGGATTTGTGCCTCTGTTTTGGTTGTAGGGGGGTGCAGATGCAACAGTTTATCTTTACCTTAGAAGGGATATCTCAACATGTCCCCACACCACTTGACCCCTAGAAATTTTACTAAGGTAGAAGTCTTACCAGTACGTATAGAGTAGTTGCTACTTCTCACTCGTTAGGTCCAGTCAGCATAATGCATCAACGTAATGGACCAGTGTGATATCTGTGGAAGGAAAAAGCATTTACGATCCCTGTGAACAAAATTATAACATAGAGCTAGAGAGTTGATATACCCCTGACGTAGGACAGGTGTATTGCTGGCCTTGCCAGCTAAAAGCAAACTGCTCTGGTCGACCTTTCTCTATCCTTAGACAGAGATAGAGAAAAAGGCATTTCCCAGATTAATAGCTACATATCACGTATCAGTAGCTGTGTTAGTTTGCTCAAGCAATGAAACCACATCTGGTATAGCAGTTGCAGTTGTAGTCACAACTTGATTAAGCTTATGAGAAGCCACTGTCATTCTCCAAAGATCTGTTTGTCTTCTTCACAGGCTAAATAGGCAAATTGAATGGGGATGTGGTAGGAATCACCACCCCTCCATCCTTCAAGTACTTGATGGTGGAACTAATCTTCAGCCCCTTTAGGACTTCAGTATTGCCTTTGGTAAACTATTTTCCTAGGTAGAGGCAGTTCAAAATGGCTTTCACTTGGCCATTCCTGCAGAATAGCCCTTACTCCATAGATCAGGGAACTAATGTGGGAATTTCTGCCAGCTGCTCAGTATATCTATTCCAGTTATGCTTTCTACTGCAGGAGCAGTTCAGGAACTCATTGGGCCCACTGTGAGATGTACCTAAGTTAAAATTGTCACTGATTACTTGATCTCCATAAGCCTCTACTCTGACTGGTAGGCCACAGTGACATTTTGGTTCTCCTGGAATTAGTGTCAGTTTGGAGCTAGTGTCGTCTTGTCCACGAAAGGCATAATTATTCTTTTTCTCAATTATCCTAGTTAAAGGCCATAGGTCCCTTTGGGAAAGGCTGGAAGAAAGACTAACTGTAAATTTTCAGAAGTGTACTAGAGTCACTCCTCAAGGGGATCCAGCTTCCCCTTCATTCAAGGGGTTCAGGATTTGCAAACTGGCTCAAGTCTGGGAATTGTTTGAGGGACCATGATTCTCTCTTTTTACGATTCAGATTAGAATTGTTCATTTGACTTTGTAGGCAGCCTACTGTGCAATCAAACACTAGAACTCATTCCCCCTAAGTGTCCATTAACAGATGAATGGATAAAGACAATGGGATATATATACACAATGAAATATTATTGAGCCATGAAAAAGAATGAAATCCTATCACTTGCAGCAACATGATGAGCTTGGAGGACATTATGTTAAGTGAAATTAGGCAGGGACAGAAAGAGAATACTGTTCCACACTTAAGTGTGAGAGTTAAATGTTGATCTCATAGAAGTAGAGAGTAGAATAGTGGTTACCAGAGGCTAGAAAGGGTAGGAGGGGGAAGGCGTAGGGAGAGATGGGTTATTGGGTATAAAAATTACCAGAAATTGGAGTCATAGAATGGAGAAAGCTCCTTTGACCTGAGTCTCTGGGTAACTGATGCAGAGCCCTGGCTGAATTGCCTGATATATGAGTAGGAAGCAATAACTTTTTAGATTTACATCACTTAGATCAGATCTTGGATTTAATTTATTACCTTAGTGTAAACTAGCCTATCTTGACTAATAAACACAATAGTTAACAATACAGATAAAAATTATTTTTTAAAAAAAAGCTTTAATCTTTAAATGTTTTTTCAGTCTGTTAGAGAATTTAAAATATTGTCAGTTTAATTTTCATTTACCTGACTACTGGTAAGTTTGAGCATGTTGCCGTATGTGTTTTCGCCCTTTGAATTTTGTCATCTGTGAATTGTATTTTAATTTTTGTTTATTGGTTTTTTTTTTCCTATTGATTTTCAAAAAATATAGCATGGGAATTAACTCTTTTATCTTTAATGCATCACATGTATTTTCCTTCAGTTTGTCTTTTGACTTTGTTAATTATCGTCATCATCGTAATGCAGCTGTTTACAAAAATCTGTGTGCTCTAACTTGTTGATATTTTCCCTTTTGGTTTCTGAATTTCATGATCATTTATAAAAGCCTTCCTCACTGCAAGATTATTCTATACTTATTACTTAAGTGCTTTTGTTCCACTTTTTTAGTTTAATTTTTTAAATCTGTCAATAATTTATTATTTTAGTATAAGTAAGTTAGGAATCCAGCCTTTTTAAAAATGATCTATTTTTAACTTATCTTTATCCCCTAATAAATTCCCATGTATATATTTCAGTCTGAGTTAATTACTATAATAATATCTTTCAGACTAGGGAGGTTAAGAGGAAGATCAGGTTTGGTGGAGAGATTATGAATTAATATTAAATTTCTTTTAGTTTCTTGGATTTGTGAATTTGATATACCACTGGGAACATACGAGTAAAGATGCCTTTAAAAGGCATCTGGAATTGGGAAACGATAGCTTGGGAGAGAATTTGGGTCAGAGCCAATCATGTGGGTCAGAGTGTCAGAAATGGAGCAGAGGATAATTTTAAAAGTAAAAGGAGCTGTGTGGAGACTCAAGAGAGGAATTGTTGGCTTTCATATGTTTGTTCTCTGAATATTAAAGCCTAAGTCCTGTGGAAACAAAGACATTATAAAAAGAAGAAACAGAAAACTTTGGTCTTGCCCTTGTGGTATCATAATAACTTAGGGATATATTTCTCAAACTTGAAAGATATATGCATACACTATAAAAGAAAAAGATTTTGATTTCTTTTATCCTAATGAGTTTAGAAATTTAAATGCTGTCCATTTAGTTCGTCGCTTGGTACCAATGTAATTGTTAACTCTACATCAAGCTAGTATCCTGGAAAGTGTTGACTGAGTTCAAGATTGTGACCCGAAGGATGCAAAATATGACTGTACTATTGTTTTTAAATTGAGGTACAGATTACAGTAGTACAGTGAAATGAACAGATCATAAGTGATACAATTCAATGAATTTTTATAAATGTATATACCCATGTAACTCACACCCCTGTCAAGACAGAAAAGTTCCATTACCCTAGAAAGTTCACTTATAGCCTTCACAGCCAATCCCCATCCTTCCCCCAAGGCAAGATGATTTCTTTCACCATAGATTAGTTTCACCTGTTTTAGAATTTCACATAAGTAGAATCATGCTCTTTTGTGCTAGCTTCTGTCATTCAGCATAATGATTTTAAGATGTATTCATATAGTTCACTTCTTTGTAGCTGAGTAATATTCTGCAGTATGGTTATACCACAGTTTCTTTATCCGTTCATCTGTTGATGGAAGTTTGAGTTGTTTACAGTTTTAGACTTTTGAATTAAGCTGCTATGAATATTCTTATGTAGGTATTTACAGATATGTGCTTTCATTTCCCTTGGGTAAGCATCTAGAAGTGGAATTACTGGGTCATGGGTTAGGTGTATGTTTAACTTTATTAAAAATTGCCAAAGAGTTTCTAAAGTGGTTGTATCATTTTATACTCCCACTAGCACTGAGTGAGCATGTAGTTGTTCAAAATACTTGTTAGTGAAGGAGTTAAGAA